CTCTCCACCCTGGCATTTGGTGATCGTACTAGTTTAAAATCATAAACCTCTATGTGCTCACATTTTTTGCACTTTTTTAGGGACGTGTGAAACCATAGATCTAATACAGGGTGGTTAAAAAAGAATACGCCCAAATCACCACGCGGTATTTCAAAAACGAAAAACAATTTTAAAAAACTCCAGATTTGACTCTAGATCTAGGGTTGTACATACCTTTAAGTTTTTATTTCAAGTTTTACAAGTGCCTAATGTGGCCACCACCAGCAGCACGGACGGACAACATCAAGCTGATATGAGAATTCCTCCCAAACTCACCTCGGAATGTCTCAGGCTATCCTGTTGATTGTAGCTGTTATCAGATCTCTAAAGCTAGAGTTTTCTATTGTTTTTCGATTTTGAAATGTCGGGTGATGATGTTTGCCTATTCTTTTTTAATCACTCTTATCTGTAATAATAATATAGCGTCCAATCTACGCGGTAATGCTTTTGGTGTGTAGAATGCAAGTTTCACTAGATCTATACCGATCGTATTTGGCAGCCTACGCTCGCATTTGAATATGAAAACAGCAACCCATATTATTATTTTGAAAAAATGAAGTTGCGCAGGCATGATCGATTTTTTTTTCACTCACCGAATGTTTTGCCCCGCTGCTTTGCAATATATAAGTTGAATGAGAAGCCATCTCGTCAAAAAGATAACGCACTGGGGATTTATAGGAGCGTACTTTCATTACCCACATAACAGCAGCGCTGGCATCTGTTCAACGCAGGCGAGCCTGCTGGGTACAATGTACATGACATTGGGTACAACGTGCAATGCAAGAGAGGACAGAAACGTTTAACCTGCAGCAGTTTTGGTGTTAGTGTTAGTGTGTTACCAAGGCGTTATGAGCAGACTGTGTGCTGTTGAGGCTAGACAGAGAGGTCAGCAGAGTAAGCCTGATTCCCCGTTTGAACATGGTAGAAAGATGAGGGTACTAGAGGAGCATTTTACGTGTCTCTTGAAAGAAAAAAATCGGCCTTTTTTATAGGCTACACTTTCTCCTCCTCCTCCTCCTCCTTCAAACCACCAAACTGCCGTCACCAGTAACCCCGACTAACTCCCCATGTCCATGTAAAATCATTGGCATGTTATTCTGAAAGTGTGGGTTTCAAAATTTTCTGTAAGCAAGCAGGCAGTATGTTATTGATAATTTTGAGCTTTTCAAAAAAGTAAAATCAAATGCAGTTAATGACTTTTAAATCAGCAAAATAATAACGTGAGCTGATCAGAGGTAGTCATTTCTATGGACGGTCCTTTGAAATAAAGCGTATAGAGCGTCTTTTCATTGGAATAAGAATATTAAGGTTAAAGATAAATTAACGGGAACAGATGGTTGCATTTAATCAACCAAAAAACATACGTGTATTTTTTTTTTTACCGGCACCTGTATTGTAATGGTTAGGCAGAATATCCCATGCAGCTTAGTCGGTCCGGGTAGGCAAAGTGGGCGCAAATATTTTCGGTTTTTGGGAGTACCGATGGGATAAAAGTGTTTCCAATTTGTTTTAAAAAATCGTTTTAGTAGAGAATCATAATATCCTTTCACGCCAATTTAAGGACACGGTGTCAAATACCGCTACCTAATAGAAATCTCCGAAACAAACAGCACTGTCCAGCTTTGAACGTTTAAAAAAAAAATCTATGTCGAATTCAGTGTCAGAGCACGACATTTTGCCACAAAATATCATGTTTTACACACACTCACACAAACACACACACACACACACACACACACACACACACACACACACACACACACA